TTTCCCGGGTAGAGATGCATCCTGAGTTCCAGCATCGATATGGCATACATTCTGACCAAATTAGAGCGCTTCGAGAGTACAACAAAGATAGTAAAGATGATTGCATCGACACACCATACACGTTCATAACCTTCCATCGGCAGTACTTGAATGAACACCAAGATACTGCTAAGATGCAAGAATATTGGGCAGCTATGATGCACACGAAAAAGCTCTGGAAAGAGAGCTCTTCAAGGAGGAAGCTTCGTGAAGACTTCGAGGAAACAGCTAAGAGATGTGCACCGATTACGCAGGTCGTGTGCTTTGGACTGGGTGCGCTGAATCTGAACAAGAAGTTTTATCATTCGGCTATCCAGTACATGGCCGTTTTCAGCATCATACAAACTCTGAACGAGGTTTACCGTCAAACTGACTCGGATCGGCCTGCGATAAAGCTTGTGCTACAAGAACCCAACTACGAGATTAAAGATCATCAAATTCTGAAGAGATTATCCAATGACGGTGATAATATCAGCTTCGTATCCGATCCAGAAGGTCTCCTGGCGATCGACGCTGGTACACTAGTAGTCACGGCTTTCCTCCCCGTTCAGATGCCACTGGTTCAAATCATAGCGGACTTGTTCTCGAAAGACCCAACTGAAGGTCCAGCGGCCATAATATGCGATATCATGACAGTCGACGTCGAGAAGCGAGAATACTCATTGAGCGATCGTGCATCACCAGCGGTCGCACGATTCCTCACAAACCATTATGAAAAAGCAGAGGATGGTTTCGATGACCATGGACTCGAGGATGAGCTTATGGCGGATGCATATGGAGATGACTGGGAGAATAGGTTTTATTGGTTGAATTGGATGGATCTCTGGGTACGAAGAATCGTCACAAATTAGAACCATTCTGTAGATAGCGAGTGAATAGTTTGACATGTTCACAGTCCTGTCATAGTGATTCTGCATTGCGACAGCATTTCATACGGTAAATTGCAAGCATGCCGTCCACAGAATACGTGGCAGGCAATTATGTAGACCATGTATAGAGTCATGCAAAAACCAATGCCGGTTCATGCGCACGCGTGGGTATTTCAACAGAGATGCTTAGATCTCGAATCTTCCAGTTCCAGGCCTCGGGCCAGCCAAAGAAGGGTATATCCATGAAAAAACATCTCTTGCTTGTCCCTCGATATCTCTCCAGCCGACCTGTCCTCTAACTCAACAACTCTTTAATATCCTCAATCCTCTGTACTCTCTTTTCTTCATCACTCATCATACCCAACGAACTCGCACTGTCTCACGTTAGCATATACCCAGCCACCAACACCACTTCCTCAAACTTACATAAACTTCTTCCTCTCCTGAATCCTAAGCATCTTCTCCTCAATACTCCCCTCCACACAGAACCTCACAACCTTGACCTCCCTCTCTTGCCCCATCCGATGTACTCGATCGATAGCTTGCGCTTCAACCGCAAAACTCCACCACGGATCCATCATAAATACTTTATTCGCACACGTCAAGTTCAACCCCACACCACCCGCTCTCAAACTTAGTAGCAAAACGTAAGGTTTATGCGACGTGGTAAACTCAGCCAGTATCCGCGCACGCTCTTTCTGCGAAATAGAGCCATCAAAGCGGAGAAAGGGGATGTGGTCTCGTGTTAGAGCCGGTTCGATGAGATCGAGGAAGGATGTGAATTGTGAAAAAACGACAGTCTTAGCACCTTTTTCCTCTTTGCGAGTTTTCTTGAGGTGTCCTAGGAGGGCTTGGGTTTTTGCGGAGCCGGAGAGGCCGATGCGGCGTAGGCTTATGCGGGGGGTTTGTGTAGAGGGAGGCGGTGATACGGAGGCGCGGAGGCCGAAGGGATGTTCTTTCTCGTCATCTTCAGTCACATGGTCGTGGCGGACTACTTCGAAGACGTCGCGTGCGTTGATGGGTTCGCGGCAGTTGAAGCAGCGGGGAATTTCGTTCTTGTCGCGCTGGTGAGCTATGTAGTTTAGTAGACATTCTTTACAGGCCGAGTGCCAGCAGCCAGTAACTGCTTGTTCGATCATGGGTTCTTCTGAGCAAATCGGGCATTCGGCTGTAGCTTCATCCTGGATCTGCTTCAGGACGTGTGCGCCAAACTTATTGACGTCCTGATCGCCTTCGGCTGTGAAGCGCTCGATGAGAGAAGAGAGGTCCATGTCATCTGCTAATCCATTTGCGAGATCTGATGCTAGTGTAGCATCTTCTTCATCAGCGACGATGTTCGCTTTGCGTGTCAAAACAGGATGACAGCATGATTGCCGTAGTCGCAGAATCTGGGCAAAGATTGTCGTGTAGGATTTCATCAGTGTACCGGCTTCTGCGTTGGCACTGAAGAAGCTCTTTGCGCGCAGATAGATGTGGTCGTACACGTCACGCTCGGCCTGTGACAGCACAATCTTCTCAACCTCGATCGTCCGTAGAGGCAGTGGTACCAGGGCCTCGCCGTCAGGTGTCTTCATGTCCTTAGTTCGACGAAGTACCAATGGCTCTAGCACAGTCTGTACCACGTTCAAAGCACGCACAAAGTCGCCTGATTCGAATGGCACCGTAATGAACGACTTCCAGAAGGAGAAATTCGCCCATGGCTCGACCTTGAGGAAGCGGACTAGACTGAACAGGTCCTCGAGACGGTTGACAATAGGAGTTCCAGTAAGGGCCCATCGGTGTTTTGCGCTGAGTTCATAGCAGGCTTTTGCTGTTTTCGACTGCCGGTTCTTGATGTAGTGTGCTTCATCAAGGATGATACGGAAGTAGTCGAGCGAGAAAATGCCACCGTGTGAGCCTCGATTTCCATCCTGCGCAATGACCTGATTGTACTCTGACAGTACTGTACCGTAACTCGTGATGACAACGTTGGGCGCATTAGCTGCATTCGATGCGCAGCATAGCTTTTGCAGATTCACAGCCTTTTCCGATCCGTAGTAGACCATAGCCTTCAGCGTACCATCTTTGGACGCCTTCTCAGCTTCGCTATGCCATTGCGCAAGTAGTGACATGGGCGCTATGACCAACGTAGTGTATGGCGCAGGCTCGACATCAGCACTCGCTTTTTGCAACCGCGGCAGACGTTTCGGTGTCGCCAATGTATCGTCGTCCACTTCTGTCCTATGTGTATGGATCAAACTGAGCATTTCGATAGTCTTGCCGAGACCCATCTCATCAGCGAGTATACCGCCGAGGCAATTCTGTTCCTGTTTGGGGAACTCGAGCGAAAGCTCGCCGGAGTAGGGATTGACGTAAAACATGGTCTGATCCTCAATGACCGTTACCGGCTGGTTGTCTGCATCTTGTACTGGCCATTGATACTCCTCCCACAATGGATGCATCGAGGTCTCTTTATCCTCTATCGATTGATGTTTCTCTTTGCTGACCATCCAGTATAGTGCCTGCTTCTGGTACTTTCGCAAATCCATGCGGAAAGTCCTGGCTGGCTCCATGGTCGGAGTATTGAAATCGAATGATTGCGCCTTCTTGTACAGCGAGTCGAGCTGGTCTTGTTCCAGCTCTTCTCCTTCTTCGGCTTCATCAGGAGGTGGTGAAGATGTAGGATCGGCAGGCGTCATCGGCGTTGCTGGTGTGCCACTTTTCGGCTTTGGTTTATCGCTCTTCTTCTCCTCACTCTCTGCCGCTTGTAGTAGGCCTTGTCGCTTATGCTTCGCTGTCGTCTCGTTCTCGCGTGTTGGCTGGAGGTTGATGTTTTCAAAAAGCTTGACCAAACCAATTTGACGCAGGCGAAGGTCTCGTTCATCGGACGATTCCTTTTGCTCGAACAGGTTGATCTCTCGGTTGTTGTCCGGTTTGGCAAACTGTCGCTTGTCGAATGCCGCGCGAATAAAATAAGCCCTCAGCTGCAGATATATGGTGTCGCCGGTCCGTAGCTTGTCCGGAGTGTACACGACCGAGCCTTCAAAAGAGCAGACCTGCTGGTCGAGTAGTACCGACACCCAAGTAGCAGAGTCTTTGTCCAACCTGCCAACTTCCTCGCCCCGACCGTTCAGAAACCTGACTATGATGTCTGGCTTCTTGAGTTGGATAACCTTCTTCGCCTTGTTTAATTTGGGTTGTGGCTTCATACGCTCGATCCGAATCTTCTCGTCGTGTTTCAGCAAGTTGCTTCCGCTTTTGGTGGCCCAGGCTGCAACACCGAAGGAACCAATATATCGTTTGATAGGCATATCTCGCAGTATTGTTGGTGTAGACGTCCCCGAGCCTGGTGTGGATGCGGTTGACATTTCGGAATCGGTGCGCTTCATGGCATTCGCTATTGTCATCTGGACGGGCTGCCGGCGGGGCTGGAAGATGGGAGCAGGAATTGGCGGTGACATTTTACTCCACGAACCGTCTAGATAGAGGTTTATTGCTGCCAATTGTAAGCCATACGCCTGAAGTCGCTCATCTGCTTGCATACCTCGTTCTACATTGCTGCCGCTCACATCCTTCAGCTTCCGTAGTACAGTGGTCGAAAGCTCTCCTACAACTGCCTGGAGCATGGCGACATCGAAGCTACCAAAATCAGTCTCCTCGTCGTTTCCATTGCTTTCGTCTGGTCTTCCGGCACCGTATAGTGGCGGGGACGACGGAGGAGGAGGGTCGGTGGGGTTTGAGCGGACCTGTGGAGGTGAAGAGTCATCCTCTATGAAGAATCGGGGCTTTTTTGCAGGTCTCTCGTCGGGATGTGGCGACTCCATGTTGTTGTGCGATGTCGTTGTTGGTGTTGCGCATTCGCCGCTCTGCATGCAATTCGACGCGTCGACGCGCTTTCACGTGGCGACTGCGGGTGATCGACGTGATAGCGTCATACAACCAGCCAGTCGCCATCCACTCTTTGCGCCTTACCACGCGCAATTGTGTCTACCCCAGATTGTGCATACATCTCGTCATTCTTTAACAACTGCTCGATTTCTCCTTGACCCTCTGTCTGGTCTGCCATGAGTTTTTGCCTTGTACAATAGTTTTCCTCCATCTCAAAAGTTTTCAATGCCACTTCCCAGGCTCCGCACAGCTCCCATTCGGCGCATACACAACTACCCCAGCCCACGACGGAGGCAATTTCACACTACGCCCTGTCTGCAGAATGCGGCTCGTCCCTCACAAGATGAAATCGCACGTGCCCGAGCATACTGCGCAAACCTAGTCAGAACATACGATGCGCCCTCACACATCCTCCAAACCTTCATACCACAATCCTCCCGAGATGCCTACCTCGCTATCCGCGCCTTCAACGTCGATGTCGCTCGTGTCGCCGATACGACCAGTACACCCACAATTGGCATGATGCGCATGCAGTTCTGGAGAGATACTGTTACCAAGGCATTAGCTGGCACGCCACCGAAAGAGCCAGTTGCCATTCTCTTAGCACAAGCGGCTGAGGATTTACACGAGCGATCTGATGGAAAGGCACGGCTAAGCAAGAACTGGTTCCATCGCATCATCAATACAAGAGAACAGTACCTAGGCAATCCACCATACCCCACCTTGACCGCACTGGAGAGCTACGCGGAGAACACATACTCAACAATGCTATATCTGACGTTGTCGGCACTCCCTCAAGCTTCCCTTACCACAGACCACATTGCATCGCACATCGGCAAGGCCATGGGTATCGCTGCTGTACTACGCGGCATCCCACTCATCGCCTTCCCTCCACAACAGCCACTAGGTACAAGTAACTCTATGACAGGCCAATCTGGCCCCACCCAAGGCGCCGTACTTCTTCCCCTCGACGTAATGGCTGAAGCCAACGTCCGCGAAGAAGACGTCTTCCGACAAGGCGCATCTGCTCCCGGTCTGCGCGACGCCATCTTCACAGTTGCAACACGCGCAAACGATCATCTCATCACTGCGCGCGAGATGCTTTCGAAACTACGATCAGAGGGTACCCTTGGCCATGACTTTGAACACCAGAATGAGGAAGATCATCAATATAGTGTGCAGCAGATGAATACAGGGCAGGAGGCGCAGTTGGCGGAGGTGGAACAAGCCTTTGGGGTTTTTATGCCGAGTATCGCGACGCAGAGTTGGTTGGATAGGTTACAGGGCGTAGACTTTGACATCTTTGATGCGAGTCTTAGAAAGGTGGATTGGAAGTTGCCCATGAAGGCTTATTGGGCGTATAGTCGACGGAAGATATAACCTTCAAAAAACAATCGAACAGTAAAACATGGGACTCTCAAAGCCGCAATTTTTTTGGAGTGACTTTGTTGACTATTGCCAGGGTATCTAGCAGCGAGGTCACGAAAAACTAGCGAACAGGACCCTAGTGTGTATTGATATTGGATCTCAAACCTCGAACCTCGAGTTCATGATATGCTCAGTACGTTCTTTTGTGATGAACTCCGAACCGACTCCGGCACGGACATATATGCGTACACAAGGAGATTTTCGTACATGCTCTCCTCACTCCACCCAAACATGTTGGTATTTTCTTTCGACTTGATCAAACGACCAGTTCAAAAGGTAGAGAAGAACATGATTATGATAACTCACGTTTTTTTGTTGTTTTCTCCAGTCACAAAAACATGGAATAATGGTAATTGAAGAAGATGATGACACCACGCAGAAGCATCTTGTTGAATGCAAAAGCTTTAGACCACTCGGCGCGGAAAACAACATCTCACTTTTTTGCGTCATTTTGGTGCTTTTGGTAAATGTAATGGAAGATGGAAGAGAGAGAGGTACCGAGGCAGCGAGACATCTTATACGCACTGGCTGGACGCGCCAACTATCCCATGTGTAGCGGCGGATCTGCTTCTCAGAGGAAAGAAGAAGCGCGCAGGCCACCTAGGTGACATGCCATTGCATTCTAGTTTTGCAAATAGTTTGCGGTTCGAGCAATGGCCAACTTTGCAGTGTCTAGAAAGCAAGCGCGCAGATCATGTCCCATTCAAAGATAGTTTTGGTAGTCGGCGGCGGCAGCGGCAGCAGAGCCATCGATATCTGTCTTGTTGTCTTTGTTGTTTTTGTTAAGCATATTTTGAATGTCTGAGAATTATTGGTAAGATGACAAAGAGATCTAAGAGACAAAGACTTTATATGTTGTCAAGCTCCTCATTTTGGAGCATGAGCTAAGCGAATACTGTAGCAAGGACGACCGTAGAAAAAGGCAATGTTGATTTTGTTGTTTTAGGAAGGTGACCAAAACTTTTAGAGGAGAGCAAGTAGTGGCGTATGTCTTTTCATAGGCGATCATTGGGACAACTCAGGTTATACCATGTCGTACTCCCGCCATACTCCAGTGTGTCGCAGGTTTTGAGAATAGTAGTAGAGTACGAAATGCAAGCCTGAGCGTACTGGAGTTGGAATGAAAAGGCAAGATCATGCTAGTCTCAGTATTTTTGGATTTCCCAAACCACACTGGAAACATTGCCATGAAATCAAGTCCTTTTGAGGAATTCGAGCAACAAGAATGATGTCGTGGTTTGGAGACAGATTCAATGCCTTTCTTTATACACTAAGCAACACCAAAATCCAGGCAGCCATAGCGAGCGGGGCATGTCAATTTGAAAGATGTAGTGGATGCTCCTAAGGATCTTGATTTTCAAGCATGTTCAGACATGGGCGCGGTCAGTAGTGTTTTCGAGGACTATCCCAGCGCACCACATGTAGCTCTGCAGTAATGTTCTGGAAAAATTGGTCAGGGGAGGCTTTTTTCTGAAAGTCTAGGGCTGACATTGTGACAGTGAATCGATACGAAGAAGCACGATGGCGTGTTGGAAGGAGCGTGGCGCATGTCGCTCTTTTCGGCCCGTTCTGAACGAAGCGCACATGACTTGTCTGTCTATCGTTTTAGGGAAAAAGAAGAGAAACGGTACTTGAAAGTCAGAGTAGCAGAGTAGATCTGCGCTCTTGTTATATAGTTATGCTGCAAACGAATACGTCTTAGCGAAACGTACACCGTGGTTGAAGCCATTGCGTCAAGTGCGGACAATGCCTGCAGCCATGTCTACGCGTTTCTGATAGCTAGCATAGACATGTTAGAGACATGGAACAGCCGTATTAGAACAAATGCGCGACATGCGAAAAGCTTGTATGGATAGTCAGTAGTATCACAAGGCGAGGACGCGAGGATAGATCCACAACTCCAATCGCGAGATTTATTGAGCCCCGCCCATCGTACCCAAAACAGTTAGTTCGGGAATTCTGCCTGTCATTCTTCCGCCCTTTACCACATCGCAGTCATCACGAAGAGTGAAAAGCTGTTGCCTTCGTTCTCATATCCTGCATCTCAGTTGTATGAACGCCAATTGACAATGGCGTCAAACGTGTGTGCCATCGGTCGCAACCCCCTGGCCACCTGCAAGCTAACAACCACAGCAACAACCGAACACATCGCTTACCTGGGCGCCATCGTTCAAAGAGGACGATTCTAGAGTAGGCTTTCTGGACCTACCACGCGAGCTTCGAGATCTAGTCTATGAGTTCGCGTTTCGCGTCCCAGGCGCGATTCTCGTTTACTCGCGCGACCCCTTTGCTGTCCGGCCAGTCGCGAGAGCAATGAACATCCGGCATGGCGGTGACGGACCGATTGAACCGCAACCGCTAAGCACTGGCCAAATACCTGTCGCACTTTGGAGAACATGTCGACAGCTTCGGGCGGAGAGCAGCCCAGTATTTTATGGAATGAACGTCCTCTCTTTCTGGGCCCTAGGCAACATCAACGTCGGACTTGCCAACATGTGTTTAGTAAGGCACGTTTTAACTGAAGCAAGTCCTCGCGGCATCTTTGAGAAGTCTCTCGAGCATGTGAGCTATTGCTGGAAGAGACGGTTTTGGCCTGAGGTATTACGCAATGGCAAGACGATATTAGAAGAGTTTCCAAACTTGGAAACACTGACATTCTCATTGAAGCCGCCGCGTGGGACGAACTTCAAACCGGCTTTCTTCGCTGTGACCAACAAGACTAGGGAGCAGCGTGTTGGTCTGGTTGCTACTTGGATGGGTCAAAGGTCTTGGTGGGAAGACGAGCGAATGCGTCAGATCTTGCACCTAGAGATGGTACCATCGCCCGGTTTATCGAAAGATGAATACGCAGGTTCGCGATTCGTTCCTGAAGACGATGATGTCTGGGATTGTACAGAGTTTACGGATGCATTCGAGCAGATGAAAAACTCGATGCAGTCGGACGCGCGTGTTGACGCTTCGATCGGATGATCGTGAGAGATTGAGCATGAGGGAATGACTACGTCAGTTGAAGGATGAGAACCATGAGGTCAAAGGAGTGCTCGATCGCGTGAACCATGTTTCGTCTCTTCCCTGGCATACCCACTACTCGCCGTACCCACCCGAGCCATCACCGAACATCAACCTCATCACCACCACCACAATACGAAGATCAACATCCTCAACATCTCGGCCTACATCACCACATACCCGCATCGCCACTCCAGATTCTATATTTCTTCCCCGCCAAGACCCCGCAGAGCCGCACAGCCCTGCATACCCCAAATAGGAAATCCTTTCCCGCCCATCGCCTCACCAAACATGGAAGAATACAACAATCCCATCCCATCGCGCACCTCCGATCCCTGGTTGATCAGGCATTCTAGCCCTGACGTCTGATGTTCTAAAGCCACCGGTTCGGCGGGACAGAGCCTTGCCTCATGCGAGTGATCCCCGACAAGGGGCCAGGATGAAGTATAGTGTGCATACCAGGGCGAGCAAGTAAGGTACCCGCTCAAGTGCATGTTATGTGTCATCGGCATGGTACCGCAAGTGCCGATGCGAGGCGCGCTGGTTGCATGTCATGTATCAGGGATGTGGGGAGACTTGTGTTCTAGAATGCTGTGCTAGCCGTGTAACGTGGGTAAAGACTTTTCTCCGGTAGTGCGACTCAAGAGGCGAATATCGTGAGGTACGTTTTGGGAAGGTGTATCCGATGGGGATGAGTGGTGAAGCGGTGAGATCTGAACTGGCTGGCAGGTGGAGGCTGGTGGTGCTGGCGACGGGCATGTGAAGCTGAGGGGCTGGTGCAGCAAGTTTCCGCCACGTAGTAGCGTCTGCATGTTGAAAAACAATCACTGGTCGTAGTTTGAGGTCTCTTGATCGAAGGATGGAACGTGTACTGGTGTGAGAGCGTAGAAGTTGATTCTGCTGATACTATGTATTACTTGCTATTATGTATATCACAACGCGTGATCTGACAGTTGAACTTTTCTTTGTGCTAATGCAAAACGCCCGCTGGATATTCATCCGATGCAAAAGGGGCACCGTACAGGCCCAACTCAAGTAACTCAGCAATGAACCAAAACGCCATACAAAAACAAACAAGAAGAGTGGCGAGCATATGAACGCGACGCCGGGTATATCCTACAGTCCACTAGTGATAGTTCCAAGCAAAATCAGGCCAATGGCACAGTAAGGAGATTCGTGAAGCGTCGATGGTTGCATCGTAAATGGGGTATAGATAATGAAAAGAAATGGAAGGCTCAAAGCTACTGCTCCAGGCTGAAGCTACCGGAACGAGAGCTGTTGTTGGACCATGGGAATTCGCAGTCCTCGATGTAAGTGGGCGGGCTAATGGGAACGTCCTCGTACAGAGGGGGCTGCTCCTCGTCCCAGGCGATACCCATACCAGAGCGCTCAGTAAGAACGAGGTGGAACTGGGTACGGAGAACGCGGGCAGCACCAGTAGGAGTAGCCTGGCTAAGCTTCTTCAGTGGTGCCCACTCTTCAGCAACGACCATCTCGATGATAAGGTTGTGCTTAACGCTCATTCCGCTAGGGCTCTCCATGTCGCATAGAGGCTTGAGGCCGACGTTGCAGGCAGCCTGGAACTCTACATCGATTTCGCCCTTCTCGAAGTCGGTCTTCCAGCCAGTCTTGACCTCCTCGCTAGCGATGGCGCGGACATCCTCATGAAGGACGCCTTTGCCCTCACCACCGACCTTGGAGATGTGCTTGGCGCAAGCTGGAGCGATGAACTTCTGGGTTTCTTCGATACGCCAGTTGAGCTTGCGAAGTCTCCAGCGCGTCTGTGAGTCCGCCTTGTTCTGAACGATACCGGATAAGCGCATCTCAATGGGAAAGTCGCCAATCGGGTGGATGACCGGTGGCAGCTTAACGGAAGCGGTTAGGTTGGTGGGTGGGAAGATTCGAATGGAGTGCTTTTCGGCACCCGGGAAGATGGCGCGCTTGATGTCAAGGTTACGCTTGTAGGTAATCTTTCCCGATGAGGTAGTGGCAACAGCAGACAGGTAGTAATCGACGGTAGCGAGGCTGCCATGCGTAGTCGCGGGTAGGTGTCCCGGTAGCAAATGGCTAAAGGGGAAAGTGTGTGGACCATGACGCAGGGTGGTAGGATGCGTCAGGAACTCCCACTTGTGGATTTCAGTGGTTTGCGTGCTGCACTCGGCACAGTGTGGGGCGACAGGCTTCTTAGTGGAAACGATGGCGAGCATGCGCATCTCGAATTTTTCCACGGTGACGTAGGGATCATGAACATTGATGACGAGCTGACCCGAGAAAATTGCGCCAGTCGAAGTTTGGGGGCTGTTGTAGAAGACAATGGGTGGCGACTCGACGCTCATGTTCATGGAAGCCGCACCCTGAGCCTCAACCTTGGGGCTCTTCTTGACTTCTTCCTTTTCCTTCGCGTGCTTGTCATGCTTGTGACGATTGAAGATATCCATGACGAGCGACTCTTCCGACTTGGACTTTGCTTTTACGCGGGGTGCGTCGTATGAGTAGACTGGCGGGAGCAGGCCCTCGGCGTGTGGTTTGACGGGGTCCAGTTTAGGCAATGGCGTGGGCGCAACCCTCGCGAGGGTGCTCAACAGACGACCGGGCATGATAAAGAATCCGGGGTAGGGCTGAGATTGAGTGACGTGAGTGGATAATTGTAGTTGAGAACCTGCGAGATAAGAGGCTGGCCAATGGTGTGAAGGCGTGGGCCGCGATCCGATATGCAAGTAATTGATAAGTGCGACGTTCAAGAGTTGACCTTGTGGGAGTGTAGGTGGTTAATAAGTGTCTGTGGCAGGAACATGTTCTGACTTGCAGAGTAACCAAGGGGGTTACTTGGGGTAGGGCGTGGCCTTATTTAAAGGCGTAGACGCATTTTCATGGAAGTTTTACATGAGAGAAACTCGATTTCGCATGATTTCATCGCTAACGCCAGATGCAGGGATGGCGCACGCCACGCTAACGGGTTCAAGCAAGCCCACCCCTGCGCCTTCCATACAATTTTTGGGTCAGGAGGAAGGTACGCACGGCCTGCCGCTCTCGTGATCGTCCTGTAACTGTCGTGCCTGCCGACTAAAAAGACGTCAACAACCTTCTCAGCTGAGCTTGTACCAGAAAGAGTGATTATTCACGCCCAACTGACTTTGCTATGCATCACCACGCACACGCAGTTATGCTGACCGCCGATTGATCACCATAGCCGAATGCACTCCGAAATTCAGCTTGTGCTTTTCCCGCCGCCAACAAGGCACCGTGGTGGCTTGATGCATCACCGGCCAACATATGTGACTCGCCGACGGCCTTCCCCTCCAGCACACATTATACCAGACTGTCTCCACCGGAAAACCCTGGGGCTCTCGTCCATCGCAACGGCAGACTTTCCGCCCGCTAGCATTCATTCGCTGACGCACATCTGATGCGCTGTTCCCCGCAACATGGCGTTATGATCGCCTCAGAAGTGTGACTCTGGGGATGAACTTTCGAGCATCTCCTCGGACTGCCCATCACCGGAGCGCCTCCCCGCATTTTTCAGGGGCGCGAACCGTCACCGCAGAATGTGCACCTGACACTTGTCTGGGCAATCATCATGTGCTCTACTCGCCCACACTGCGTATTGCTAATTGTGCAACGTCTTCGTCAATTCACAGTCATGTTGGTCGTGCATCGCGATGTTCATCGATGCCAAGGCGCGCCGTCGTTAGGTAATGCGTTGAATTTTTCCTCACACCCACCGTGGTGCGAATACAAACGCTGACTGGGTACTCCACCTATCCCAGATCCTTTACAGCTTCTTTACACACTTTGGCGTTCCGGCCCGATATTGGCTGTTACCTGAGGTGGCTCGTGTGAGAGCACCCACTGTTGGGAGACCAGACTGTTCTACATTACTCGATGGAAACACCAGCGGTTCCGCTCACGCAAGCAGTTTCGCGTCGGAGAGGCCCGACGTCTACATGTGGGTCAGGGCAGGCCAGGCTCCAAAACACCAGCTTGCGAATCTCACGATACTTCGCTTAACGCTTAACAACGGTGACGCTTGCATGGCGTCCGCGATCTGCCAAGAGCAGGGTTCCCGATCCGGTAAAATTATTGCAACCTCTGCATCCCTGACTTCTTCGTACCATTCTACACCGGTGCATTGAGCCCGTGTGGCGCGCCCATGGTTCGTTCAGGGATCTCATTCCCGTTGTCGACATGTGCGTCTTGGGCTGGCATGCCACGCGTGTTCAGAGTCATCATGTCGAAATTTGACGTGCGCCTGGCGCCATCCAATGGCCCGTGAACGTGCTATGGCACCATGTTGGCAGCATCGAACAACGTCTCACCGCTCGCACGGTTTCTAGAAGCAGACATAACTCGCGGTGTCTAGACTTCTAGTGAATGCACCTGCATTGCGGCTCTTCGTAGCCTCATTAGGGCACAAAGCTTCGATCTAGGACGGCCCGATTCGGTATACCTTTCTTGAACTTCATCAACCGTCTCAAGTCGATGGCGTACGGCGCTTCCGCTGTGGCGCTCCTGATATCGGCGTCTCCTCCGTCGTATTCAGCCTTTTATTATTATCGCGCACAAAAGTAGTCTTCCACAGCGCTTCTAGTGCCCTCGGCTTCGCTTTTCTCTATGGAATGCCGAAGAAACCCGGATTTGTATGCGGAGTAAATGTCCGAAGTACATCTTTTCATTCCGAACACCGGCGGCAGCAATACCGTAATACCAAGCTTTATGCTCCAAGTCCACGGAACCCCATCCGGGCTCATGCGAAATTTCTTCACATGTCAATGACAGGTGTGACACGCAAGCGCGTCAGGAGAACACGTCTCACGGACACGCCTCACACGCCTTGGACCAAGTGGATCTCGTTTCGCGAGGAATGGTTTTTCGCGACGAGCATACCCACACCAGCGCACCGCTAGTACCCGCGCATAAACAGTACTACGATCTCCTTTTACACCTGTCGATCTGCCGTAGAAAGTATGCAACTGTTCCCTCTAGTACTTACAGCAAGATTTTCAATTTCTCCACAAAACACCAAGGCAGCGCAAGCACGCAATATCACGGTTCCTGTTTCTAGGAGAATTACCTGAAGACGTCGAGGAACTGCAATCGTGCTGCTTACGTTGGTTTTGAGCCAGGACAAGACAATTTTTCGGTTCGGCTTCAGAACCAGCAGACATCTGGAGTATTGTCCATGGTGACTTATACTCAAGCTTCTTCCACAGCCGACTCCAGGAAAGATGATGGGTAGGTGCGATCCGCGTTCCACTTCGTCAACCCTGGTACGGAAGATATTGCAAACTCCTCCCTAGCATCGTGTGGAGTAGGTGGGTAAATTTTTGGCGTCAAGCTAACTCGCTTCTCGCGTGTGACATCGCAGACTTTTCTCAGGGATCCCTAATCCTCCAAGTGTGCCTGAGATGAATTCCCTGCGACCGGGTTTAGTAAAATCCATCAAGAATGGTTCTCCAAAAGCGAAATGCGAACAACGGCTAAGTGCAGAAGTCAGGCACATATGCATAATAACTTGTCGTTGGCAAATGCATCAATTCATTAGATCGTGCTATATGCCATGTAGACCTCCACCCATCTCATTTTCCGAACCCTAGACTCCATTCTATGCAAGCCATGTTGGTATCATCAAGTGGTATCGTAGATCTACTCGTCATCCTCATCCGCCTCGTCGTTAACAACGTTGAAGAAGCGGAGCTCGTAGACGCCCTTGGAGGTGGAAACGACGCGGAGCCAGTCACGGAGCTGCTGCTTCTTGAGGAACTTCTTGGTGCTGTCATGGCATTAGCTTGTACCCTTTACCATTGCAAGATGCAGAATTGAACGTACAGGTACTTCAAGTAGCGGCCGGAGAACTCCTGGTGCGCAATGACCTCGATCTTGCCATCGCCCTGCTGGCTGATCTGGATGGTGTCGCCAAGGTTACCAGTGCGGCCCTCGACCTTGATGCGGTCGTGGAGGAACTTCTCGAAAGCCTGGATGTCGAAGATCTTGTCGTTGACGGGCTGCGAGCAGTTGATGATGAACTTCTTGGTGATCTTCTGGCCCTTCTTGGCGGCGGTGCTGCGCTTCTGTAATACAGGTACTTAGCCTACTGTTCATTTGTGCGCGGGGTGCTGTTGCTCCCTTGCGCTGGACAGCAAAGCAGTTGTACGTACGGTTGTGGACATTTTGGCGGTTTGGAGGAGGTGGGGAGCGCAAAGAAATGGATATCCTGCGTCTGTCGTAGAGGGGTTGAAGGATAAGAAATCGTCGCGCGGTGCGCAGGAAGTTCGAGCTGCTCAAAATTGCCGGCGCGTTGGTGGGGTACTAGTCCCAAAGGGGATAGTTGCGCTAATCGTTCGAGCTCCGGTCATTGGTCGAGCTTTTTGAGGTTATCACGCTTCAGACACCTTCGACTGTAAACATCATGAACAAGTTAAGAAGCACGGAGAAAATCGTCGCTCATCTCAATCAACTCACAACACCTACACTGGGGAGGTGTTTGTGCAACAGATCGAGGTTGTCCGTAGTCCTCTGAAACTAATGCAAAGCTTGCGTACTGCAAGAACTCTTTTTGGAGCAGGCATGGGTAATTGTTGGCTGCGATGCTTTCAATTGTCTCCATGAAAGCTATATAGAGGAGACAATTCATGTTGGGCATATTGCGCCTGAGTAGGACGCTCTTTGTTCGGCTGTCGTGATGGAGGTGAGGAGGGGGACATATGGGGAAATTTACGAACCACAAGGTCAAATGTGCGCATCCGAAAGTCAATGGATGCATATTCACAAAGTGCAGCACTCGCTGATTAGATGTTAGCCTCTACTATCGCTTCCTTTACTCAAAACTGAAATGATGAGATCAGTTTTGGAGGTAGTGGATAGCCGCCAAAAGAGCACTATGGATTCGTGTGAGCGAAGAGGTACAAGTGAGACATTGCTGCTGGCCAGTTTTTGGCACGGCGTGGAAAGATTACTATGACGAAGATCTTTCGCTAACTGATCAGGATATGTGTCGTTCATTCTTCGTGACTAGTATGTGACTCTCCATCGCGATAATATTCCTCGCTCTTACACAGACTCCCCTGCTGCAGGTGCATACCGAACGCAAAGACCGAGAGCAGGCCCCGGGTGTACAGGATGACCGCAGTAGGCACAGCCGTTGTCAACGCAATCAGAATCCTTAATACAACCGTATTGGTAGCACGCCTGTCGCTTCTCGATTATGTCCAACAAGTCTCTCGGATGATGCCTAGGGGATATATCTCCTCGCTATGTCTCGTTCATCAGATACAAGGCCAGCTTAATGCTAGGAGAGGGGGACTGACCTTTTCCCTAGATGAGTCCGGGATGGCTACCGCTGCGACTGCGAAGGTAAAGAGGGCGACGATTGATGAGCGCATGCTAGGCAAGGTAGTATGAGGGTGATGGTGTCGTGTATCTTGTATCAACTGGCGACTGACGACAGAAGACTAGAAAAGAGAATATATGCTTCTCAACATGAGTATTTATGAATAATGGCCACTGGGTGTCTTTCGCTATTCATCTCGGCACAACATGTCTATAGCACATATATGGGGACTTCTAAATTGGCCAAGGACACAGTTAACAGTCGTGAACATCTCCTGGGAAATGGTAGCCATACGATATCTCCAGATTGCGCGATGATCCCAAGGTAGCTCCGAGAAAAAGTGCGATAACATTTTACGAAATTCCTTCGCAGATTCCCAACAGCATCTTTAGCTCGCTTCCCCGGTTATATATCCTCGTTTGGAGATGGATAGACGCTGTGCATCAAGCAATCATGTGTTACTGTGGCACAGTCAATTTCGTAACTCTTGGCGTTCATCTGCTTCCTCCATGAAAGATGTGGTTAAGAACCAGCTGTCCGCACGTCCGAGGCGTGGTGTGCAAGTCCAGGACAGCGCTCGCGTGAATAGACTATTAGGCCTCGATATTATCCAGGCTAATTCCTCAGTAGTGCTTCGTGGTCCATTGCTCTGGTGTTATCTCCATGTAAGATGACGATAATGTCTAAGTCGTAAGTATAACTGAGCGTGTACGCGAGGGGTATTCACAGTCTCGGGCCTTGTTGGTAGCTGTATTTTTACTGTGCAGATACTGCTGCGCCATCTCGATCAATCATAAAGACATGTCGCGAAGGATATATGCGGTTAGATCGATGAATATGTGAGATCATATCGCACGGAGTCGTAACACCTCGAGACTTAGAGCGCGGAGATATGACGTTGCGAGGCGGCAAGGCGGATCTCGGAAATAATGTACATCACGTGGTCAGATGAGCCACTTCAAAAAGAGGATAGCGCTTCAAGCCTTCCGAGACCCGCATACCTTCGACGAATGTGACGCGGCCTTCATGATAACCACGTCGAAACAGCGGATAAGACGTGCCGTTCACGGCACTATCGGTCTGATGTGGCGATCTACGACTATGGATTCTATTCAAGTTTCATTCCTTCCTGAAAAATCGTGGATAAGGCGTCCAATGTGGCATTGCTGCTAGGCAGACACGCGAGAGGCCTAAAATCCTCCATCATTTGGTTTAGAGTCGCAGAATTCATATAAGCCTTGGTTGATTTACATCTAAAGCTACGAAGCTCACCTTCTACGTTCTTCCATCATCCATCTCGAACTGATACACAAGTCACGGCCATGCGCTTCTCACCAACGATGCGCAATGTTGTCCTCCAAGCAACCGCGATCTGTACTGTCTCGTTGCTTTACACCCACTACGTCTCCGAAAACATGTTCGATGCAGTAATCCATGACGAGACTTTCAGCCATCTGGCTGGGATGCTTGACAATGCGACCGCTGCCGAGCAGGCCCACAATGCGCGTCTGGAAAAGATGCAGAAAAGTGTGATTCCCAAAGACGAGGCTGATAATTACGTGATGCGCACCGTCAACGAGACGAACGGTACCACGTGGAGCTATTTTGTCCCGAAAAATCAAACCGAGCTTATCCCCAATACGAAAAACGCTACAAAAGAATCTTTCTACGGCCGGGAACTACCAAGGGAGGTGCTGATCGTATTCATTCTCGTGATACTCCAGTATTGGTGGTTCGTTGGACTAGAGAAGATTCTGCCCGCTCGACCTAGACGTCGAGATGTCACGTATCAGGGAAAAGAGAAAGTGGAAGAGAGTGAGGATAGAGAAGAAGAAGTCGTCAAGAAGTGGATCGCACAGGGTAGGGTGAATCGGGCGTCGTTGAACATCTGCAATACATTCTTGAAATGGGTACTCGAACTGACAGTGGGGACGCTATGGTTTTTGACGGTGCAGCATGTACTCCGGCAGCTTCTGAAGTTGAACTCGCCAATGTCCGTCTTTGTCGGGCTGAAAAGCGTAAGATTCTATGCCTGCCGTCCATTTCGGGATAAAACTGACCTCCATCATCAGCACCTTATTTTCGGCTTCCTAGGCACATTTTTCTCCGTCGCACCTTTTGTTCGCCTCATCGCCTTCGTCGTTGTCCCAGCGTACAAGCAGATCCTCTTCATCGAAGCCATTGAGCTAGTGTTGGCAGTCTTCACCATGCAGTTCTTACGCATGATGGCTTCATGGGCAGTCAAAACGGAGTTTGTACAGGCAGTGATGCGGAATGTGACGGGAGAGGTGGAGCAAAATCCTGAGAAATTCGGGAGAGTTGGTGGTAGAGAACTGTAAGCTTATGACTGGGAAAGTCTACTTCTCTTCGAGGTGTCTTGCTCTATAGTACAGCCCAATCGTTACTGCGAGCATACTCGTACAAATCATCGTCTCTCATACTTCCTTCAAACACTGATTTTCCCATCTTTCCCGATTTTTTTTTTCATATTTCAGCCACATGAGTGCCTCCTTTACCAAATCCGATGGTCCGGCCACAGTTGGTACACGCCACTCACCCCCTTCCTGATTGACAAAGTCCCCGTTAGCACGATCCTGTGCCTGCGCAATATGTTGTGCGTGTTCGATAGTCGATATGGATGCCCAAGACACTGCACGCGCTTTCTCTTTATGTTCAAGATGGAGCCCGGCAGGAAACTTTCCCTTAGGCTCAGGATGCAGATCAAAGGTTGAAATCGATGCGTGAGGTGTTGGCGGAAGTGACTTGTCGAATAGTAAGGGATGATGTCGAAGATTCATGCACCGAGCCTCCCAGCCCATTCGCGAGGGTGCTGGCGCTGCTGGTGCTCTGGTGGGTAAGCTCGAAGCACTCTTCTTTGGCTTCTTCGCCAGGAGTCTTTGTCTCAGCATGTTGAGACAAGTTAGAAACATGGCCAAAAGCTCTGCATATTGCTTGTATATCTTCCTTAATAGTCGTCGCGGCTTAGGTGATGAAGGCATAGGCTCTTCCACGGGCCTGGGGCTAACATGTTCTCCATACACCTCATCACTGCACATCGCTGACAGATGCACGTTTCTGAATGTCCTTTGACTTTTAATTCTGAGTACATTCCCTGGGAAATCACTTCCCGCCGGAAACACCTGGTGTCGGCCACTCCGGAATGATAATTCTCTCGGAATCGCATCGAATCGCATAGAACAATTCGATTCGTACACCTTCGTGAGACCGATATCATGTGGCTGCTGGTAATATTAGCTCGATGATGCAGAGCGGCGATAGAATGGCGGAGGTGGAGCTGGCCGAGGGTTCTTCAACCAACTCTCAGCTCTAAGATCTAACACGCTGTCGCTTTCTGGAACAAACACACCCTTGGAAGTTCCATGTTGAAGGCATCGGGATCTCGTGAACGGTCTCTCTCGAACTAATCCGCCCTTTGCTGCTCTTGTTTCTAGTAACACTGGGTGTCTAGTCTTTGATCCAGTCAGGTTGTCAGAGCCAATGTAGCGCGGTGAAAGGAGTAACTTACCTGCACGTGCTTCTGACGTATTCATATGCATTCTTTCAAGCTTCGATATAGTGGGTCCGTCTCTTATAAACTCCATGGCAGTGCACAGGTCTGGTTGCTGAGGCCAGCGACGTAACGTGACGGCGCGATCAACAGGTGAGGGAGGAGATGTTACTATCTCCGTGGAAAAGGTACTAGAGTTGCGGAAAGCACGAGGCCGGTAGCCTGCGCTTTGCGTTTGGCTGGCCAAATCATCCCACTCACATCGCCAGTCCTCGCTGTCGTACTCAAGATCTGCCTCGCTACCGGCACCACCCCTCAACCGCGGATCGACATCCTCTACAATAGCGGTCACAGATGCGACAACGCTCTTCTGCGGCAAATTTCTCTTCTTCCATGGTCTACGAGCTCCGCTCGTCGGCTTCGGAGCCTCCTCTGCATGCCTTAGGCTCTGGTCACCAGAGGCATATTCTTCTTCAAGAAAGACTCCTTGGCAATAGTCGCAATGTTCTCGATGTTTATCTAATTGTGTAGCCCACTCCTCACAGTGTGCACTTTTAGTGTACCTGAAACCTCTGGAGCTTTTGTCCTTAAACTGAGGGCTCAGTCTCCTGATATATTGCCAGTCAAAGCGACGGATATCATCTTCACGCTGTTGCATGAATTTGGGAGGGAACATGAAACGGCCAAGTCGTAGGCTCAATGGTCCTTTTCCAATGGCAATCTCTTCAGCTTTGAGTACGCGACAAGGCGGTGGCTCAATAGTGCTGTAAGACGCTGGGGTGTTCGGAGGTGCGCTTGACGGAGGAGTCAGTTGTGGGTAATAGAGCGGAGATTTTTGGTGGTTATATGGAGTATGAGACCGATACTCTGGGTCACTACCACCGCCACGGACCGATACCATAGGTGGTGGCTTAGAGATAGTTGGTGATTGCGGATGAGGAATCTTATAGTACGACTCGCGACCGTACACGGAACGGGTCTGGCATGCGCAGGATCTTAGCCAGTCGATCGTATTGTCAGTATCGACTGGATCATCAAACGAGTTCACCAAGTCCCCGATGTCTTGGTAATAGTCCTTCTCTCCTTCGCTCGACGTACTATTAGTCCGGATATCACCGTTCGACTTATCTGTACTCGATTCAAAATCAAGCTTTTCTATGAGCTTCTCAAGGCTTCCCGCATCTGCGTCCAACACCTGCCACGCAGCTATTCTCGTCTTGCAATCCAGTTGGCACCCTGTGAGAATTTCTGGTATATCAATAGTGATTCGCTCATCGCTCACATCTTCAGGTAGATAAATACCCATATCTTCGCGGATCTTCATAATCTCCAAGATGCGCGCAATGTGCGGATCATCTCGGAAATCTTCTCTTCCACACCCCTTTTTGAGGATCTCGTAGATCTCTAGTAATGTGGAATTGTAGGGAAATAGGTAGATACATGGAGGAGTATCGGGGAAAACGATTGTAGATCTTTGTGGGTAGTAGACGAAAGACTTGGCTGTAGTAACAGTGCTCGAACAAGGAGAATCAGATGGTGCTGTTGCTGCCGCATTCTGTCCGGTCTCAGCACCACTCGTCGGTCTTGTCTGTAGCAATGCTTCCTCGTCACCACCTCGTATCGTTGCCAGAACCGGTGACCTATTGCGATCCTCGTAAGCTGGAATTGTTTCTTCCCCACAGGTACAAGCGACAGGGATATCACTATCCGCCACTAGACGATGAAGAAGTGTCCTAAGGTTCTGGTACTCGTCAGCCATAGCCCTCTTGTCTGCTTCTGCAGCCTCGAGCCGCTCCTCCAAGTTCACTTGTACATCCATATGCCACTGTAGATCTTGAATGAGGCTATCGTTCATCTCTCGAAAGGTCTCAAGTTCGCGTCCGAGAGAGGAGTTGCGCGTTTCGGCCGCTGTGGCCACGGTCATCCAAGCTTGTACGCGTTGTTCTGGAGAATCTGTCATGAGAGCGATCCTGGCTTCGTCCATGAGGCTATCGTAGATACGCTTGAACTCATTTGATAAGTCGTCTTCGTCGGTAGGCCATGGTGTCTGGATTGGTTCGTCGCCGGCTCCGCCACGGATATGTGGAACAGCTACCTCCCGTGTACGGTTCATGAGAAAGAGATTGTTGTCGTTGACCATATACATGTCTCCATCGTTATCCTTCTCACCAAAGTCCCAGTATCCCCGTGTCAGGGTATCCCAACCAAGTCCCATCTTTTCCCACATATCTGCAATCGCTTTCTTGAACACTTGCTTTGACTGTATCTTGTGGAACTCGACATCCTGCCATTGCCCATCACCACAACCTTTCTGCTTCCATGCTTCCTGTTGCACGACTTCTTCTGTTGCTCCTGTAGGGAAATAGTAAATCGTCGCGGCGCTGTGAAAGACTAGCTCGGGTTTCGTGCAATCGGGAACGATGAACCCTGGAGGCAGGTATACGATAATGTAGTTGATCGTCGAATCTCCAACTCGTGACGTGGCTCGCTGGCAAAGAAGATGCGGTGATACTGACATGGAGCTACGAACTTCAGCGCTAGCATGATCGCAACTGCCATTGCCTTCACATTCTACTTCGTCACTGCCGCCACGTAAGTTGATATTTATGTCTCCCTTCTTCGTTTGATAGAAGATGGACGTTAAGATCGGACCAGAAGGAGTTTGCTGGGGAATGTTCGCTGCTTTACTGTCGCCGTCCTTGGCCGTTATGTTGAAATCGATTGGTTGGAAGAGATCCTCTCGGTGCGCCGCTACTGTGAGCGTATGGATCTGCTCCTCTAATCGTTCAACCTTTTGTCTCAGCTCCTGGATAATCTCGTCCTTGTCATTGATACTTGCAACCTCGCCCTGCGCCAGTAAATCCGCCTGATCCCAATTTGTGTAACCTCCATAGTCGTACACAAACTCTTCGTCTTCGTCTCGGCCACCCATACCACCTCTTAACGGCACGTTCTCATCTGAGCTTTCAAACTCGTCCAAGCCTTCACTATATGTATGATACGGCTCATCGTCGTCGTCGTCGGCGTCTTTTTCTTCTTCTTCTTCTTCTTCTTCTTCTTCTTCTTCTCCTTCTTCTTCTTCTTCTTCTTCTTGATCGCCATAGATTGCCCCAAGCAATACCGGTATGCTCTCGACAGCCAGCTTCCACTCTGTTTCTTGGGCATCAAGTCGATTTGTGAGATGCTTGATCTGCATCTCCATTCTCTCTAAGCGGTCTTGGAGCTGGAGGATGGACCTCTCCGTTTCGATCTGCCGTAGTATTTCTCTGTCGTTGTGCCGTGACTGTCGCTGCTCGGGGCTAGGTGCGTTGCTACGCTCGAACCAATATGCCATGTTTGAGAGATTCGCATCTGCAAGCCGATTTTCGGTTTCCGGCTCTGAGTCATGGTCTACAGGCATTCCATCTCGCCAAAACTTCGCCATGTCTTCCCATCCACCCTCGAAATAATGACCAGCTGCCTCATGCTCATTCTCTTCCATATCCTCTTTTTTCGAAGAGACCTCCTCTACGAGCACCTGCATCATGCAATTCAGATCCTGAACGCCCTGATGCAAATGCTGTGAACGCTCCGCTAACGCTTGCATCATATCCCCTCCAGCATCAAGATCCCCATCCTGCACCGCATTCTCTTCACACAACGTCTCATCTTTCCCCTTTAGCACCGCGTTTTCATCTCTCAGTATGATAATATCTTGCCTAAGTTCTTCCTCTATTCCTTGAACTTCTGCGATCCGAGTTTTCGCCGTCATGAGTTCATGAGATAATGCTTCTCGTAGTCGAGGGGTATACATGCCACAGCAATCAACTACGTGCTTGGCTGCAGCGATGAGTTCATAGAGGTCGTGGAGGTTGTCAGGGTGTATCTGTGCAGGACGTAAGTGGGTCGGGACAGTCCGATCGAGTTGGATTGGGTCGTGGTTGTCGTTATGGCCGCTATGATGGCTTGCAGGCGGTGGGGATGGTTGTGTCATGATCCTCTCCCAAGAGTAGGTCAGTGATTTCTAGTAGGCAGGCCGAAATGTAAGTAAAGAAAGGCGTTTGAGCAAGTATAGAACGTGCTTCTCGCAGAGGAGAGGTATTAGGTTGAAGTATTGAGTTCGCGGCTGTCAAAGTGCTGAGCTTAATATGGCAAGAGGTAGAGAATATGCAAAGAAAACTGCTGGAATACAACGACTTTATGTAGAGAAAGAGAGGTCAGTCAAGTATGGCACATTCTTCAAGAGAAGACAAAAAGGCGTGAAGCCACGTAGTATACTTGAAGCAACGCGCAAAATGGAAGCGTTGTTGTTGTGACTGATGAGCTCTGTTGAACAACAATATCCCGAATGATTTTCAGGAAGCAGGGAAATGAGAATACAGAAACAGAGAAAATGTGTGAAGAATCTCACATCCACCCTATACGTGCGAAACAGTGGCAAACATCGTGTGTACAGCAGTCACTGATATGGCGACGTGGAAGAAAACGCAAACGGTTGAGAGAAAGATACAATTGTTACGCTATGCGTACAAGACCCAGAGTGTATTCGCTTAACAACAACAAGAGCCGCTCATGGGGCCTACAAACCATATTTGGGTATACCGTGCTATGATGCCCTTGTAGTATTGCGCCGTTACAGAAGAAGTGCAAGACATGTTGAAAGAAGAAGAAGAAGAAGCCCAGAACTGAACACCGCCTGGCCCGTTACCGAAAACCCATATTCGCTAAATCTGAGGCCGTAAAAAGGGAAGACATAAACTCTAAAAAGGATTACAAGACTCTAAAGACGTGGCAGCCGTGAAGCAACAGACACAGCCACGTATTGAACACCAAACCCCACGTTGGAAGATATCCGAACGCCATGCACGTCGGACATGCCAGACGCAAAAGGGGATAAAACACTTTTAGTTTAGCTGCCGACTCGCTCCGAAACACGACCGCGAGTCTCGATTTGCTCGACACGATCCTTGGAAGAGTCGGAGCGCTTCATGCGGGATCGGGCCAAGGCGGCTGCGGCTTCTTCGTGTTCCCGAGCCAAGCGTCGGAGCGCGATCTTGGCCTCTTCAAGAGGTATACTGTCACTGCGCTTGGGACTGCTTTGTCGCGACGGGCGTTGGCTTCCTGGGTTCGAAGTTGGAGTTGGAGGCTGATAGCGAACGCTATTGGCCCGGGTGCTAGCAACGCTGAAGCCGTTCTTGGTACTACCAGGACGGCTAGTGCGGTACTCAGTGCTGACGGACTCTTGGCTGCGGTTGTCGGCATCGCGAGCGGGGGAGTTCTTTCGAGACCGGACGTAGTTGGGGTCATCGCGCTTGATCATGTGACGAAACTGTTGGGTCTGCTGATCGAGAACCCACCGTTGATAACCCGCAGCGCCGTTTGCGTTACCAGGGATGAAAGTGTCGTTTTCGTCCCAGCATCTGACCCAAGCCACGTCGTCAACCCGGAAGAAACCGGCCTTGACTTCTTTGCCTTTGTCGTTCTTGACCATGACGGTCCTCTTTCGCTTGTTGAACTCAGGCTCCAGGAAGTAGCGGCCGATGGCATGAGAGTACTTGAGTGGAACAGGTTGGTCCAGTGGAGTGTATTCCTTGCCGCCTGACGACTTTACAGATGGCTTGGGGTTGCTTTCTGGTTTGGGTTCGTCCTTGAGAGTTGCGATCAGGAACCAGCCTCGACCGGGGATGCTCTCGTACTGTCCGGGTACTGGACTGGACCATTCTTCAACGACCCTTGACTGATCGATCTTGTTTGATTTGAACCATTTGTGCGGCGCAAAGGCCTTTTGAGTGGCTACGAAGAGGTTGGGTGCCATTTTGATAGTACTTGGAAATGGTTGGAGAGGAAAGTCCTTGCACAGGATCTGTCGTCGAAGTAAAGCACGTGGATGGTGATCGTCAGTGGCGATGTGGGATGCTCAGAGATTCTGCTTGGTCCGTAGGCGAGGTTGATGATCCGGTATCGTGACAATGAAAATTGAATGTGACTAGCCGAAGACCGCCGGTCACTGCGTGCAGATGCACGACTGTGGTCGCTATGAGGAGCGCGGCAAGCCTTCGACGAGACGTGATTCACTGAGCAGCGCGTGAAAGGGAGATAGAATCCTCGAAACAAAGACAGTTGGGGTGTCGAAATATTTAAAAGACGGGAGCTAGTTTAGTGCTGGGTCTGAAAATCTTTCCCAGGCTGACGGAAGGGAAATTGGGATGCGCTTCGACCTACCGTGGGTACAAGTGTGGGCCATGGACCGGGGGAGAAATAGTCAGACCTCATATGCCAATGCGAGGTCGTACGTCGCCTCCAAGCGTATCGGACCCTCTCATCAGGGAAAACGGGCCTCATCAAAGCATTCGTCATGGCACACTGCCTCAATCAGCTATTCTCAGCTGTACACGTTCCCGGTTCTTTCCTCTCCTGCGCCCACACGGATCCGCTGATTGTCGTGGTCGCATGCCAGGCTCCGCATCCGTACCTCCCTCGCAGCAACCCACATCTGTTGATAAAGTGCAGCCATGGGCCAATCACCGCGTCTTGCAGCCACCCGTGGACGGATAATGCCTGATAACGCGACGCACAAAGGGCGATTGTTCCCAGCAGACGCCTGAGTGTGTGAAATTGCAAGGGCAGGCACAGACAGATGGCAGCTTCAGAGCGGTGTGATGCTGGGTTGAGGTGTGCGGATGAGAAAGGAACTGAGTGGACCGGCAAGCGTTACTAGATCGTGCGCGGAAGTTCCGTAAGCGTAGCCGTTAGCGAGTCGCTCAACGCATCCATGAATGGAACCAGGAACCGCGACAAAACGATAAAACGACGAAAAAACTCGACGGTCGGACCACCAATGGCAGCAGTCTGGAATATTCCACGACAGAGACAGCCTTCTAGCCAGCTTCGAAACATCTCGTCAATCTGACTGAAAGCGTCAGGGCTCAATAAGGTTCCAAGTTCCAAGATTCAGCGTCGCAATTACAACTTTCCCGACCTGCCCTTCCCCGTACTTTAGCTACTTTCTCACCATCGGATTCGCGCCGATTCTCCAACTCCGTCCTGCTCCGTGAAACACGACACATCTCCACCCACCCATGCCAGACCAAAGCAAACAGACAGCACAAACCCTGCCACTACCACGCGACAAATACCAGCTTACCTCTGAGCCCACGCGACGCCTCACTTGCTTCCTACTCGGCTGCACCCAGCGTACGTGCCACACGCGCCAAGAAGCAACCATGGCTCTTGCGCTTGCCCCTGTGTTGACTCGTACGGCTTTACTATCACATCCCTTATCGACATGCCATCTCATCAAAATATGATGGCGGTGAGTCGGTAAGGCTGAGGATTTCAAAGACGGCTTACGGATGCATGTGATTCCGTAGCGAGCTATAGATAATCCCAGCATGAAGTGGTGTGCGCATGGGGAAGTTCGCCGTTCAGGTGGGTCGATGATTAGGCATCTCAAGCATTACACTGAAATAGCCGCCAATACAACACTCCGTCCAACAAGAAGCATATGCATCATGCTCGATGAGTAGCGTCAAGTCTGATCTTGTGTTACCCTGAATTAGATATATGTCTGCACCTGTCATCATTCATATAGTAACCCGGTACAGCTGCTTCAAAACTCGCTGTTTTCGAAAAACTCGCTGTCACGGAATGTCGACAAGAGGTACTTGATCACTACGTGATCCCATTGTCACATCAGACTGCATCCCACATCCAAAAACTACATATTCACTATGAGCAACATGACATCAGTGCTTACAGCGATAGAAAGGTCGATGGTTGTCAAGGTTGGGCAACAACCAACGCGGGAAGTCGTCATCTCGTTAAACCTGGCATCACCTGCTGTTTAGCATGTGATGAAGATCAGCCTGATTGACGTGCGCATTCGATGCTTGGCGCAGAGCACCATGCAGCATACAATGTACCTTGCGGATGATATCGCAAAACAACTGCTTGACCCTGCGCGGCCGGCAGTTGAGTTGGGTTGGGTTGGGTTGCAACATGGACGAAGCAATACAGATAGCCAAACGCGCCAAAAAGCAGCATATCACAAATCCTACGTCATTCGAGGAATCCTGATTTGGCTCGTTTTTTCATTGCATTCCTACTGCTCGTGTCCCTTGATATCTTTGGTCATTCCGCAGTAACATGTCGCAATGCTTTTTGAAGTGCATGCCTCTTCCCATACCGTAGTCGAGGGGTACTGTGAGCCGAAGAGGATGGAAAGCCTTCCCATTGAGATCGTAACTAATCAGAGAGACGCCTTGTATGCCCCGCCCCAAAGTAAAAATCCGCACCCATCTACGACTCGGTCTTAACGCGGGCCTTGCCGTTGGTAACCTTGACACCGATCTGCTTCGCCCTGGCGATAATTTCGATGCGCTTTCGTGCTGATACAGCGTGGGCGATCCTGAGGAGCTGTTAGTGCCTTGCTTGAGCGACGGGAGACTGGGTGCACGTACTCTGCGGCGAAGGTGGCGTTGTGCATGAGGAGAAGGTCAACATCGGCGACGTTGTTGACAACGAAAGCCTTGTGGCCGGAGGGCATCATGTGGCGGGTCTTCCTGTTGGAGCCGTATCCGATCTGTGAGGCGTTCCGTCAGCCTTTGTCCATCAAACATGTCGTGTCGCGCCCATCGTTCTGTCGGTGACAGTCATCCTCCTCAATCCGGGTAGTAGGTAGTCCGTACCTTGGGCATAGCAGCCTGGCCCTTGAACCGCCTGCGGACGCGGTTGTCGATACCCTTAGGCTTGCGCCATGAGGGGTCAACGCCTGTCCATTGTCAGATGCCCATCTTTTCATTCCCAGCGCCGGTGTCTCTTACACATGAAGCGGTCCGACTGGTGGCGGTTGAACCGCTTGCGGTCTATACGGTACGTCAGTCGCGAGTTTTCGAGGTCATGGAGGTAGATTCGGCGTACGCTTCTTCACGATCGGGACATGCTTCTTAGCGGCGACCATCTGGCTGCGGTCAGTAGAGCTACAGCAGCATTCCTCGAGGTATACGCACTTTGACTGCTGTGTGGTTAGTTGTCGTGGGGTGTCGTCAAAAGTTGGCGTTGATGGATTTTGCGAAGGCGCCGCACCACAGTGGAAGACGCTAGTGCAGCTCGCTTACGCCGTGGCCCTAGCCACACCAAGAGGCGCAACGACCATCAAAATTCTCGGCGAGCGCAGGTGAAGCACTGTCGCGTGGCTAAGAACATCGCAGTTAGAAAGTCCCGTATGCATCAACGGAAAATTGCAAACTTCCTGCTTCTGCCTATGCCCTGAATCTGGAAAGTATCTTGGACCCACAGCAGATAGATACATCTCGTAACTAGCTAGATCTTGTCGCTTTGCCTAACCAGGGTGATCACCTTCAATCTTCTTCATACAATCACTTCATGTGCACGACAGAACGCAGATGGCGCTCAGCCTCTGAATTACTCATGCTGAGCTAGTCTATTTACTAGAAGATGCTCTTATCGAAGCGCCATAAATCTGGCCAAGGGGTATGTATATAATGCTCCCATGAATTATCGTAACCATGCATCAAGTGTAAAGCCGCCTTCTGATGAGCAAGAGAAAAAAATGCCATCTACCATAACTCCCCGCTAGTAGGCATAGGAAGTCCTGAGTCTAAATCACAATTCGTCTTCGTCCATCGGCTGCTCATCCGTACCACCGCGCTTGTCCTTCTTGACAAACTCGACAAAGTCGTCGATGACGGAAGGCCATGAAGACTCCTCGTTCCAGAAGCTCATCGACTCATCGGCTAGTGAGAGCTGTGCGAACTTGAGCGTCTCGTTCCACATATCCTTGTTGACGCTCTTCTTCCACGATGTGTTGAGGAACTCGATCCACCAGCTCAACCATGGCGTATTGGGGCTCGACCACTTGACTGCCGACAGGGGTGAGCTGAATAGCAACTCCCAATATACGGCGGCCATCTCGAGTGGAACAGCTCTCTGATCTGTGGGTTTGGCAATGGTGAATGTGTATTTGTAGACGCGTGTGAAGAGCTCTTTGTTGTCAGACAGCTCGCTCTTGACATTTTTCAGGTACGCCTTCTGCTTGTCGACGGTATCGCAGCTGCATGGGTCAGATACAAAGTCATGTGGAAGTAGATGGTTGCAGCCGTGTCACTCACCTGCGTTCTGACCAACCCTTGACAAAGCCATCGCGGCTCATTTCGCCCATAGTAGGCGCCTGCACAATCTCAAGAGCAGCCAACGCCTCTAGGCCTTCGGCATCGACGCCCGTTTCCTCGAAGTACCGCATAGTACCCTCTACGCCAACAATATCCTTGTCGGGTGCGCCAGCCTCTTGGTACCGATCGAAGAGCTTGGTCAGGTTTGCCTTTGCTGCGGATGAAGCTTGCGCACCGCCGCCGCTGTTGCCGCTGTAGTAACTGTGCAAATGGTCAGCCTCTGATGATATATTGCATGAGTTGGCGGTTGGCATTATATAAATCAAAACCGCGCTTGTTCCACGCAGTGGGATGGGCCGTGGTCCAAGGTTGATATATGTCTGCATATCGTACCGACTCTGCAAGCTTTGCCCAGGATTCATTCGGAGCCAAGCATTGTCGTCCCTAATGATCTCTTCTAAGGCAAGCTGCCAGTTTGGTTTCCGTCGTCCTTGACGGTCGAAGCCTGAACCGCCCCGAAGCGACATAGTTGATTGTGACCTCAGTTGGCGATCAGAAGTGGAGGCGTGGAGGGAAGCCGCCCCATTGATGTCCAATATCGCCAACAAACTCTCAGGTGGAGAGTTCGCCAGGTGTGTAGGCGGAACTGGAGTCGTGATGCTGCGCAAGTGTTGCAGAGTGTCTGTATGCGTTCCTAGACTACCGTACCGGGTGTGACGACGTAAAGTAAACTCACTTTCCGGTAGATTGGTTACGTTCGCGAGAGTAAGGTTGTTGTGCAGCACCCGACTCAGGTGTTCTGCTCGAATCCGACGCTGCTCCAAATGCGAAGCCTCTACACCATTCGCCAGTTGTGGTACAGAAAGTAGTATAGGGACATCATTGACTGCACGAACTCCACTTTTGACGATACGTTTGATGGAAGCATCACTGTCGTCACAAGCGGTAGATTCATCGACAGCTGTGGCCGATTCGACCGTGTATACTCCTGTGGGTGGGGGATCTTGCCGCTGAGACGGTCGATTGGATAGACTCATGGAGTGAGAACTGGAACATGAGCTGATCGAGCTGATTCTCTCTCGTCGATTACGCCCAGCCAGTTGTCTGGCTCTATCCTGCGAAGAGCCGAACATGCTGGGTTATGATGATGGCGCTGACCTGGCTCGATGTTGGATAGTCGGTGGGGCGGTAGTCTATTGGCGCAACAGACAGAAAGCTCGTCAAGGGATTTGTTGTGGGCTGGAGGATACTGTCGAAGAACAGATGCCGGCGCAGGAGCTTTGCAGAAGAAATAGTAACAGGTCCATGCCGGGAAAGCGAATAACTCTCTGAGCAGGAGCCTCTGGACATTGTTGCATCCTCGCACAGCGCAGCTGCTCCCAACCCAACAGCCTGCCATGGCCTGCATGCAGCTGCGACTTTCTGCTTCTCCCTCGAACATCCTGTTGCTACAGCCGTACCCATGCGTATCAAATCGCTCCTTCCTTGTTCGCAAGTATACTTGCTATGTGTCCAGGTGTTGGTCGGTCGGTCGGTCGATAGATCGAGATCGTTCGAGTAGCCCACGGATTCACCGTGCCCACATATATGACAAAGGTATAATGCTAGTGCAGTGTATATATTCGGAACAAAAGACAAAACAGTACTTACGCGTTTACGGCATTCTGCGCATCCCAGCCATGGCTCTTCAGCGCCCTTATCGCGGTGTTCCGGTCGAGATTAGTGAAGCTGATGAATTGCTGAATCGCAGCCTTTTGCTGAGAAGAGTAGACTGTAGGCATTTTGTGTTAGCGCTGTATGCCAGATCGCAGGTGTTGGTTGGTTGGTCGAAAGTTCGAGGTGAACAGAAACCGCGGGGCTGCAGGCGGGTCGAGTAAGCTGGGGGGCGAAAGTAGGCGAGAGGCAGATGGTGCAATAGTGAAAGAGGTTCAAAGCACGCTGAGTGAGTGTAGATCCTGGTTGCGCGCTTTATTCTCACGGAACCGTCGTGGGCAATCTCTTTGTTGGCGACAACTTGGGCGAGATGTGACGCACCGACCGACGAGGCAGCACTTGTAAAGCCGACCCCGCCGAGTCAACTCCACCCTTGTTCGTGCATCCAAGCCCCGGAATTAAGGCCGCGGCGACAAGCTAGCTCTGCAACTTGACGTGCGTCGCTCCAAAAGCAGGGACTGGAACAGTAATGAATGAGAGGAGAACTTGACTGCTTACCTTCTTTTTTTGTAGACCTCGTCTTCTTCACTGGACTATCCAACTCGGCGGTGGCTTCTGTAGACTTACGCTTAGGTGCCATCGAGGATTCGGGGTCGTATTCTTTGAGGCCGCCGGCGGAGTCGAGTATATGTCGTCGTGGTGCAGCGAGGTATTGAGGACTGTGACTCGAAGTGCTGGGGACGGGCGAATTCTGCTTTGGTCTACTAGGAAGCTCGTGCGTTTCCTTTATATCTGTGCGCTTGCTGCAACAGAGAAACCGACGTATCAGGTCACCAAATACCATAACAAAGCTGCTTGCTCTCACTGGAAGCGATGCTGCGACGTGCGCGAGGGGATGCCGCTAATGTGTTCCCAAACCAAGTTGAATATTTGCAGTGAATCTGTTTGTGCCAATTCAAATTATCCAAAATCTATGGTGAGCTCTGAATGAAGACGTGGACCCAGTCAGGCTCTGAGTCGAATCGATGAGGGAGGCGCGAAGAAGTGACACGGAGTACGTGGGCTCATCAAGCTAGCACACAAATCACAAAAGTTACGCGGCATCATGTGTTCTTGTCTTCACTACAAACATCAAACATAACAACAGTGACTATGCGCCTTCCATGTTCGCATTTAGACAGCGGAAAGTGCAATTTGTGAGTTCTTTGATTAGAGCACCAAAATGCTAATCGGTACTGCTGACATGCTACATTTATCATCTCAAAGTCACATTCATACGCTCTAGGTGTCCCTGCAGGCGTGCAATTTTCCCACTGTTCGCTACTAGAAAACGCCAGACACCTCCAATGCTCAGTACCAAACACCTAAATCCTCACAATATCGACACGCGTCCGTTCCCAGAGCTTATGTGCAACTGCAAACCCTTTCTCCCTTTCTGGTTCACTGACAACAGCAGGCTGAACAATAACGCGGGCATATGTTCCTGCCGCACGGCGTTTAGCCAAGGTACCAGGATTGATGACAAGTACCGACTCCACAACCTATTCGAGATTAGCATGTCGCTTTAAAGTAGATTGAACCACCGAACATACCTTGACTGTGCCTTGAAGCACACTAGGCGTGATGAGTATGTCAGGTCGTACATTCAGCATCTCACCCAGCTTAAGATAGCTTGTATCGAGCATGGTGCCCAGAGGAAGGAATGGGCTCGGTGCTTGGTCCAATCCTGGTTCTTCGCCCTCTTTCTGCTCACCGTTCGCTGCATTACTTTTCATGACCTTTTCCTCAATTGGTGCTGGCATGAATTGCTGCTTCTCCCTTCCAGTTGGCGGGAACAGAGGCAGGAAACTTCGCTGCTCGATAACGTTGCGGGCGCATCGTTCGTAGATGTTGGTTGTTCGTGCCTTGCCGCCTGCTAGCTCTTCTCTACGCAGCATATCTAGGATATCGATCGAGGACATACCCACGGTCATCTCATTCATACTGACAGTCATTGGGTTGGTGACACATTGAACCATCTTTCCTGCAGCACCCAGGCCGAGCTCCTTCTTGATGAACTTGTCTTGGGGAAATGCAGCATGGTGGTGATGTGCATCTCGTAAGCTAGGAACCAGAAGAACCTGGCAGGTTGGTACACGTTTGTTGAAGTTCTGAATAGCGCTGGAGACATGGTATCGGAACAGATCCGTCATGGTGGCCTGATCCGGGCTTGCGTTTGGTGGTACATCAAAGTCTCCTGAGCGAATTTGAGGATGTTCAGCATCGAGGAATGGGCCTACCAGGATGATGGCATCTGCATACGCTTCGGCAGCATTGTCAAGAAAGGTGTGCAATGGTGCAAAGTCGAGATTCTGATCAGTAGTGTAGGGGCCAGAAGCAATCATGATGGTGAGAGGTCGGACGTTGTCAGGATCAGAATCTGGGGTATCGAGGTATCGCGCGTTGATGACATCTAGCTCTTCGGGTTTCGTGGCTGGTGGGTTCAGAAGTGGAAGGGAGAGGACTTCAGAAACTACAAATGAATCTCCTGAAGCGTTAGTGCCACGTAGAGCAACAATCTGACCGGGGAAGAAATCGTATGACGATAGACCCTCCACGTTCAGCGGTACACGACGCCCCGAGCCATGTCTCCGCGAGCCTTCGAGTACGATTGAAGCTGTATTGAGCCTGCCTTCGCTTGTGTCGTTTGCTATCCTTCCTACTGCGATAATCTCGCTCGGAGACGGGTAGTTTGGGTTTCCGAATGCACTTTCGTCCAGACCTGTGGTGTCCCTGAGAAGATCACGGAATTCGTCGATCCTATCATCCAAGACCTCAGAGGCTTCCGACAGCTTCATAGCCATGGTGCGATATGAGAACTTGGACATGTCTGTGTTGGCCTTGAGTTTGATGCGGGGTTCCTTCGGTTCTTCCGATGGTGGTTCTGGGATGGAGATGTCGCCTTGCACAAACTGCTCGGTGATGTCGTTCGCATTAGTACGGGAAGCAAAGTCGAAGACACTGGCTGAATGTTAGAGCATGTCTACAAAGTGTATCTGGAATACGTACGGTCCACCTGGGGTTTCAGCCTTTGGTGTCATGCCACCACCAGGAGTACTCATCTCATGTGCCTTGGTGGCCTTGCCTCCTGGTGTGTTGAAATTGGCTTTGCGTTTTACTGTACTTCCATTGGCGCCACTGGGTGCGGGCCGATGTGGTGTACCTGGTACGAGTCCCTCTAGCCTGTCTCCAGTCAGCTCAGGTACTTATTCAGTTCATGACTGCTTCAAACGTACATGTCATACATGTCCCCACCCTTCGCTCTTGGTGTTGGCTGACCCCGCTTGGGTTCATTTCTTTGCTGTGCCTTCCCTCTGCTTTCGCGTTCCAATGCATCTTGTATGGTTTTCTTGAAGTCCCGTGCTGTCTTTACATCCATCTTGTTCTCTTCTCCACCCATCTTCATGTTGTATGCCTGCCATTTGAAGTCCAGTTCCTCGGGTGAGATGGAATATAACCGCGACATCGATTGTAATTCAGCGAGGACGTCAGTGGGGAATTGATCCCCCTTCATGTCGCAATAGCGCTCGAAGCGCTCGGTAAGCTCTGTGGTGAGATCGTCCATTTTGTGTGTGTGTGTTTGTCGATGTTCTGGGATGATGACGGTGAAAGCACTTTGCGCGTGGAAACTCAGAAGACGCGTCGCGCGTGTCGGTGTGGGGCTAGCATAAAGAAGGCCTAGGGCGATCGACGTACATGCAGGGACCGCCTTGTTCCCCAAAAGTTCCCAGGCTGACCGATACTCCTACGCCGCAACAAGGAGGTCTTTTAGGATTCTTGGATAACACACACGGACGAAGTCAATTCCATAGATCAAATCCAAAACTCGACATCATGTCTGCCATTGGCCCCTTCGCAGAGCCTGCACCAGGCTGCAAACCTGCAGCCGCTCCTGCCTTGACCGCCGACCAACAAACCAAATACGACCAGCTTCTCGCCGATGTCCGGACATGGGAAACTCTGCCCACAACTTCAGCAAAGGGTGCCGAAGAATCACCAATCAGCGACGATGAGCGTATCTGGCTCACCCGTGAATGCCTCCTTCGATACCTTCGCGCGACAAAGTGGAACCTCCCTCAAGCCACCCAGCGTCTGCGCGGGACACTGATATGGCGTCGCGAGTACGGCACCGACAAATTCACCGCCGAATACATCTCAGAAGAGAATGCAACCGGCAAGCAGGTCTTGCTTGGTTTCGACAACGAGGGAAGGCCATGCTTGTACCTGCTGCCTCAGAACCAGAACACCAAGGAGACGCCTAAGCGGGTAGAGCACTTGGTCTACATGCTGGAGCGCACCATCGACATGCACCCGCCTGGTCAAGAGAGTCTGGCATTGTTGATCG